TATTGTCAAAGAAAATTAAGTCACATAAATATTTTCTAATTTTTGAATTATATTTATTAATATCAAAGTTTAAGATATGTTTCTAATAGCCATTGTTACTATTTAAACTAAAGGGAGGAATGCAAGTTTGAGAAGTAATCATTTCTAGACACAGTATCCTAGACACTTGCTTAGTTCCCATGGGAAGAACGAATGTGGTAATGGAAAGTTTGAGGTCATGCCACATTAAACATGTAAGACTCTCGTGTGCATCAACACAACCACTTCTCCAGTGAAACCTCAATGGACTTTTAAAAGCTTAAACACCCAAAAGAATACGTAGCATACTTGTTGATGTTCATCAACAACAGGGTGAAGAAGGAAAAAATGATATGACTTAAGTTATCTGAAATATTCTATAATTTAACAGCAGTTGTGTTTACTATTCTAAGGGTGGAGTTTATTTTTGTAACAAAACGTATGTTTTTTTAGTTGATCAGTTGTAGCATGTTGGGCATTGCTTGATAATTCATCATGTGTGCCAGGTTCCATCAATCTAGTAAACCTCATTCTTAAAGTCTAGTAGGTCTCAGCTCTTTATATTCCTTAGCTGAACTAGAGTGAGTTCATTTTCATAGAGATAAATTCCAGATAAAGTTACATTAATTAAACAAATAGGGACTAATTTAGGAAGTTAGAATGCTTTATGAGAAACAGGTCTGGCAGTGAAGACTACACATGCTTTTTTCTTCCCGTCCACACATTCTTCACTTGTAATGCACCATGAGGAAGCCAAATTACAATCACTAGTATAGCCAACTTGTCATTATTATGTTTATAAAGAATGTAAACTTTTTAGGTATGTTAAGAGTAAGTTAATATCTGTTCCATTACCTCTCCAGAAAACATACAGAAGAAGCAAGGAAAATAAAACATGCCCACACACACTTCTACTCACACAATTCCACCTGTATTAAATAAAAACGAATATATAATACCTAGACAACAGAGTCTAGGCAAAGGCTGCTTAGGGAACAGAACCTAACAGACACCACATGGAAAGAAGGAAGGAGTGAAAACAGGATGTGAAGAACGCTTGGCGTGGTGGTTAACAGCGCTAGACTCCCACATAACTAACAGCGGTTCAAGTCCCAGACCTGTTGGCTTGCTTCCTCTCTTTCCCTCCCTCCCTCCCTTCCTCCCTCCCTTTCTCTCTCCCTCTCTCTCTTCCCCACCCCTGTTACTTTGTCCCTCTCTAGTCAAATTTTAAAAAAATGAATAAAGTTAAATAAAATAATTATTATTAAGAAAAAGAATGCTTGGTGATGGCAGAACTTAAAATGTGGCAGAATATTATACTTCCTTGTTTTCTGTAGCAAGCCTGTGGGAATTGGGGTGAGCAGGCTAGAACAGAAGCCATCCATGATTTGGTTTGATTAGAAAAGCAAAGGACCCATATTTGAGTAAAGCAGGCTACCTTAGTAGGATCGAAAACTGGAACAGTGTTTTAGTTGTAAAGCCTATAAAAACCGTGCTTCTATCTCCCTGCCACATCCAAACTTTCTGCAAATAGCTGGTCCAGCAAAATTCAGCTCATTAAGTGATAAGTAGCTTAAAAATAACCAACCTGATAGTCATAAAAAAATTAATGAAAGGTAGCAAAGGCAGCAAAGCTCGGTGACACATTAGTGTCTCTGTGTCTCTCCTTCTGTCTCTCTCACACTCATGTAAAATGGATACAGAGCAGATCATTTAACCTTATGTCTTCAGCAGTTTATGAATTTGGAAGAAGATGTAAAGCATAATGTAGGAACTGTAGGAAAAGATGACTTTGCATCCAGAAGAGATGGACTTTGAGCTAGCAGAACCCAGGAAAAAAGAAAGCAAAAGCAGAGACACCACAGTAAACTCAGTAGGGGAAATAGAGGATATGATAGGAAAAGTAACAAAATGAAACAAATGGAGAATCAAAAAAGATTAGAAAGACAACATTAGCATTGGAAGATAGATAATTGATGCAACATATACATAAGTAGACTTTCTAAAAAAATGTTTTTAAAGGAAGAAGACAAATGTTTGAAATTTTAATTTAATACTTACAAGAAAACTTACTTGAAATAAAAAGTGAGCATTTATATTGAAATAGCATAGCATAATATAGGGAAAGTTGACTCAAAATTCAGACATAGGGGCCGGCAGGTGACATGGTGGTTAAGACACTGGTCTCCCACATGACTGATTGCAGTTCAAGTCTCAGACCTGGCAGTTTGCTTTGTCTCTTTCTCTCTCTGCCCCTCTCTGGTCAAATTAAAATAAATAATAAATAAAATTAAATAAAACAGTTCTGTTTTTTTAAAAGAATTATTCAACTTTATTTATTTATTTATTTTAATTTGACCAGAGTGAGAGAGAGATACAGGGAAAGTGAAAAGGCAAGCCACCAGATCTGGGCCTTGAACTGCAATTGTCCAGCGCCCTTAACCACCACCTACCTGCTGACCCCTATAACAATTTTTTTAAAAAATCAGATGTAGTATTCTAATTAATTTTCGAAAAGAAAGAATCTTCTGGGATCCACACAAAAATAGCAAGTTATTTGTAAGGGATAAAAATTGGTTAATCGGAGCAAGACTGCCCTAGTGTTTAGTGAGCACAGAACCAAACAAAGATAGTTAATCTTAGCCATTTTTATAGTCAGTGGCTCTTTACTAAAGCGTAATGTACCCCTCTTGCATTAGCTGTATCAGTATTTGCCACTGATAAATTCACAGGGGTGGGCTGCCTTTTTCTCAGATAGTTAACTGAATAGACTTGGGAGTTTCCCTCTCAGATTATCACTTAGTGTGCTTGTATTGCTTTTCTTTCTTCCTTCCTGTTTTTCTTTTTTTTAAAATTATTTATTTATTCCTTTTGTGATTTGTATACTTCTATATGAACCTTTCTGACTGAAAAAAAAAAATGTGTTGTATTTAAAAGTCTTACTGGAATGGTTTTTATAAAAATTTTATTTGATTTGATTATTTAAATAGCTACTCTTTAGCAGGCTTCAACTATGTTTTAAGGTTAAATTCTTACATCGATTATTCTTATATCTGTATCCTATTTGTTTTTTAAGTTTTTTTTTTTTCTCCTTTTTACCATGGGGTGCATGTTTATGCCAAAGAGAGGGAAAGTATGAAATCTCCCCCTAAGGAGGGTGGCCACACTCTAATCCCTTCTCTTCTACTCTCCTCTTGGGATTTTGGGCTTACATGCACTCATGCCTGCATGTTTCCCAGGCCACCAAGTCTGTGGGACCAGCAACGTAACCATTTTGCCACCTACTGGCCTTATGTGTATACACTTTACAAACATCACTTTCATCCATACTTAAGCCAGAAGCCTAGTTGTCCTCCTCATATCCCTCCCCTTTCACAACTTATTGGTCAGGGCCACTAGGCTAGCCAAAGGCCCCATCATCCCTCACCTGACCTACTTTAATGGGTTTCCTCACTTCTTTCTTAATTTTGTCCAATCCATTCTTTGTTCCTCAGCCAAATGATCTTTGTAAATACGAAGATTGACTGGTATCATGCCCTTTTTATAACATTTTGTATTATACATTGAATAAAATCCAAACCACATTTGTCTTCACTGTATGCCCTCCACTCACTGCTTTACTTCTTAAGCTTTAACTGTACAGGCCTTCTTTCAGACTTTTGATGGTATGAGATTGTTTCCTTATTTTTTTGCCCATTCTGTTCTCTCTCAGAATATTCTTTTCCCCTCTTTTTTTAGATGACTGGCTCTTCTCATAACACTGTGTATTTCTATTTTATAATAGTTAACATAGTAGGCGATGTTTGTTTAGGTACCTTTTTGTTTATTATCTATTTAAGACTTAACTGTAGCCATGGGGCCAACAGGTGGCGTGGTGGTTAAGGTGCTGGACACTCCCACATGGCCGACCACGGTTCGAGTCCCGGACCTGGTGGCTTGCTTTCTCACTTTGCCTCTCTCTCTCTCTGTGTCTCTCTCTAGTCAAATAAAAAAAATAATAAATGAGTAGATAAATAAATCAATAATATTTTTTAAAAAGACTTAACTATAGCCTTACAAAATAAGTAGCAATATCTTTATTTACAGATGATGAAGTAAACTCAGATAACAAAGTTAGTCATAGCTAAGAGTCATTCCTAGGTCTGTGCCTTGAAAATCTAGATTCTATTCACTGGGAACATGCTGAGAATTTGGCAGTGTTGACGTGTACTATATTCTTCTGCTACAGCTATGGTACCATTGCCCAGTAAACACAGTACCGGCAGAGCACTGAAGATAGGCATTGCCTTAGAAATCAGAAAGGAAGGAGAGCAAGCATATCATCTGACATCATAAAAGATGCCATAGAATAGGGCACCTGAAGAATGGATAGG